TCTTTTCTAAAAATCCTGTAGCACAGATTTCTGTTACAGCTGTATCTAAATCACTGAGGCTTACAAATAATGAAATAACATGTCTAATGGTAAAAAAATTTGAAGCACAATTTACCATCTGCAAAGTCGATTCCAGATAATTTGAATGATTAGAATTTAATATCTACAGTTACATTTATGTATCAGTGCAATATTATCCTTTGTGAAAACAAACTACAACATGTTCCTAATATGAAAGACTTATTTTGATGTATTAAAGTGTTTTAGAATTTCAGCTCTTTCAAAACCTCCTTTTTGTTCTTCGTTCTCTTTTCTGAATTGTCCACACAGCACTGAACAGCAGAAAGGCTGCTTGTCATGAACTGGGAGAGCCAGCGCCCTTCTAAGCACACAGCTACTGACAAGGCAATTGAGCAGATGCCACCACGTCAAAAAAGGTCAACAAATAAGATGCTGCAACCTCCACTCTGCTATAAGTCAAAAAGCTCTGCTGGTACAACTACAAAGGAGTTTTAAATATGTTTTGTTTCCTATAACTTATGAAAAACATAGCATTCATTCTGTAAGCGTAGCCTTTTCTGCGTTAAGCTTAGTATTAGTTCAGTAATTTCAGTAACCAAATTCAGCATAAAATGATCTATTTTGACTGTGTAAGAGCACAGTGGCAGACAAAAAACAAGTCACAGCATCAACACAAGCTGCCTACCTCCCTACTGTACACCAGTACAATTTGACTTATGGAAGGTACATCTTCAGAAACCTCCCCTATAACTGACACCACAGTGCTGGAGGACCAACCAGTGCCTCAAGCACAACTGGGTAGCAGCTGTAACACCCATCACAGCTGGGGACATCCATCCCAGGGCCCCACAGGATGGCTGTGAGACAGAACCACCCAAACCCTGCCCACACTCCAACAAGGCAGCACACTGAGCTTAAGTGCACAGCAAAACATGGAAGTGGCAGGAAGCCAGCACAGTTTGCACCACCCAAGTGTTGACTTCTATTAGCTGACCATGCAAGTGCTGAAAACTCATGCCTGTGTGCCAACTTAAAACTTAAAACGAAGACAATTTCCATACATATGCGTGGTTTTAAAACAATTCAAGCATGGCAATACCGAGTTCATCTTTGGCACAGGGCATAATACTCTCATTGTCATTACTCAAAAAGGCACCTGCAATGTAGGATGTAATTCAACGTTGCCTTTGTATAACTGTAGACATTAGTGTGGCAGCCCTATAAATAAACATACTGCCCCACAGAACAACAGAGGCTGGATTAAGCCAGTAAATGAAAGGCTGCAAAAAAGGACACAACATCGGTAGGTTACTGATATTTTTCAACCATTAAAAACACCTTGAAAAAAATGATGGAGATACAGAGGATTACAATTACCAGACTTTATGTGATGATTCAGCAAGATGATTTCAAAACAAGACTTTCCTTCAGACACCCTGCAATTTTATTCCTCTATTCAAGCTGAAGCTTGGAGCAAGGCTTCCCAAAAAGCACTACTTAAGCACTAGCACTTGTTTCAGGAGAAAAAGGAACAATCTAATCTGTTATTGGCACAGCAAAACTGCAGAAGCAGGACAGGAAAGAACACAGGCAGCAACCCAGACTCAATCATCAAGTAATATCCCAGGCTTCAAGTCCCCCATATCTTACAGATATTCTATCAGGCTCTGTGATAATGTGCAACTACAGCTCATATCTGCAGTCAATTAAACCATGGATTTCTGCCTTACGCTCTCCTTCTGACAGAGCAAGTGATTTCCAGCAATGTCTTTGCATTTCTCTCTGAATGTCAGGGCTCACCAGAATGCCACACGTTCTGAGCCACGGTTCAAGCAGGCCCCCAACAGCCTCAGCTCCTGCTGCACAAGGTTGCCCAGCACACCACGTCCTGCTTCCCTGACATCTACTTCACCTCTTCAAAATGGAACAACAACAACTTCAAAAAGGACCAGGGCTGTTTGTCTGCACACAACTTGTAGACAAAGATGTATTTAGGCACATGGAAACGTATTCTATAGTGTTTACCTAGCTGGCAGTTTACAGCTACTACACAATTTTCACAATTTTATACACTATTTTAAACAAGTTTTACAATCCTAGGACTTGAATGTATCAGGTTGTAAGCACAAAGAAAACGCTCCTCTCAATCATTACAAATGAAGAACTTTACTACTAGGTACAGCCTATCTTGCATCTGTTTTTCAATATCTGTCATTTATTTCCATGCTTATGAAGTACTGATAACTGAACTGAAGCAACATTACAATTCCGTGCTACCTACTCCCCAGACCATTACCTGTGACAAAAGTCTCAGGACATCTCATAAGTTTTTTGTGATTTATTTTAACATCAGCTCCACCAAGTCACAGAAGATGCAGTAGCCAAGTGGCAGTGGCATCCCAGCAGCCCCACAGCAACCGCCTCGCCTCTCGCAGGGTCGCAGCATGGCAAGGCCACATCACACAGTGATCAATACACAGCACAAATCTCAGAACGCAGGCAAACCACAGGTACTTCACATGCTCTGAAGCACAAAAATCAGTTGAAGAATCAGTGGGCAAGTTATCACTCTCTCATAAATTCTTCTGTTGTGCTTTGAAGTTACACTGATGCCATCTGAAACATCAAGGCAGTCAAATCCCAATTTCCTCTCTACTCTCTATTGATTTTAAGCAGCCAAGTCTTTATTGTGTAACTGCTTTATGTTACCCTTTCCCTAATTTTTAAAGCCCTATACACACGCTTAAGACATAGCACACCTTCTGTAAATGTTATTGATTCAGCAATCAATATCTCCACAAACACTACAGTATCTCCATAAACACTACTACTCTCGTAGTAATCGCTCCCTCAGTTCTATGGTTATAATATAAACAACACAGATAAAGCATAGCAGCGAATTGAACACCATGCACAAAAAAACACAGCACAGTACACACTTCATTTTACCATGTTTACATTCTATATTACAGCAGCAATAAAGGAACAGAAGATTAACCTGCTAACGTGGAAGACAGTACTTCCAGGCACTGTGCATGTCTGACGCAGAGCAGCCAGGGGCTGGGGAACAAGGATGGTGTGGGCACAGAGCCATGTGCTCCCAGCAGGAGTTGGTCTTGAAGTCAGTGAAAAGCCACTGAGTCCTGAATCAGTACACCGCTATTTCTCCACCACTTCCCAAAAGGAAGCAGAGCCTCTGGAACGTAATACAGCACTGGGATTGCAGGGAAAGCCATCTTCCAACTGCAATCATTCTCAACACTGAAAATTCGCTAACACGCAACATTTAAGGAATGCCTCCTTCAGGCTCTTAATCTCAAAAATCAGCACGCTAATCAAAATCCTCTTAATGTTTCACTTGTGCTATTAGTGCTTCCACCCCCACGTCTCATGCGATATTAAAGGTTCAGAACATCCGAGCAGGGCAACAGTCTTCCAAAAAAAGATAACTGTCCTCTTACACCAACTATTCTTAACCTGCCACGTGATGTGCCTGCACTGGACATTGCACAAACCAGAATACCAACCCAGGGGACAGAAATACAATTTTGGAGACCTCTGTAATTTAGATTTTAAAAAGTCGACTGAACTCAAAAATGACTTTGTAATTTCCATTAATAATTGCTTAGATGATTGTTCAGGAGACCTAAAGCCATCAAGTGAATTCACTTTTGAAGAGGGAGCTCTTAAAAATTAATAATAATTAAAAAGTGATAAAAACTGAATGCCAACTTTATGAAGTGCTCCTCTCCCATAGAGCTGCCTACTCTAAAAGGAAGAAATCCCAAAAGCAAAGAGCCTTTAAGACAGACACATCTGCTCCCCGGAAGCACTTGATGCTGGCTTCGCTTTCCTGTCATTAGCTGCAGCACCAATAAATCCCATTCACTTTTTAAAAACAAAGGCTATCCTAAACAAAGTTCAAGTCACGCAAAGGCACTGAATTATGCACACACACACTACTGTCTGCGTGCACGCTATCGGTGTCATTCTGCCGTCTCACTAAAATACTTATCGCGCTCCCCATACAGCACCAAGGACGAACACCGGTAGCGGCCGGGCTACAGGCAGGGGCGGCACTCAGCCCAGCCCAGCCCGGGGCAGCACGGCCCTCCCGTGACGGAACGTGCAGCTTCAGCACGGCGCCGTCCCGAGCCACGCTCACACCCCAACAAGCGCAGCTTCCGCCCAGGCGCAGCAGGCACCGCGGGGGATGCCGCCGCACCGGCGGAACAGAAAACGATGATGCGACCTATTTACTTCCCGCGGGATGCCGGAGGGCTTCAGAGAACCGCTGTGGCGGCGGTGCCCGCGCAGACCCGCCGCGGCCGCCCGTTCCGGAACCGAGCTCGGCGCCCTGCTGGGAGGAGGGGCCCGGCGCTGCGCAAACACGGCGGCGCGCCTGCCGAGCTCCGGCTCCGGGACAGGGCGGCAGCGCTCGCGGCTTCCACGCTGCCGGCGGCACCGGGAAGGCCCGCAGGAGAAGCCCCCGTGCCCGCTCTGCCGGGGCGGCCCGAGCGCGCGGCCCGCACCGCTACAGCGCGGCTCCCGGAACCGCTCCCGGCTTCTCGCGCTGACGACGGCAGCCCGAGCGGCGCGGCCGGCACGGGCCCCCGCCCTCTCCCCGCAGGCCGCGACCCGCCGCCTCCCGCCCGCCCCGGGTACCGACGCCCCTCGGCGGCACGGACAGGCCGCGCCCCGGCCCGAGCCCGCCTCACCGTGTGCACGTGCTCGTCGGCGCGGACGCGCGGCGGCAGGCAGAGGAGCAGCAGTGCGGCGGCCGCGCGGAGCAGCAACAGCCCGGGCGCCGCCATCTCGGGCCTCCGCGTCCCCGCGCACGCAGCAGGCCCCGCCGCGGAGCCGGCCCGCGCCCCGCCACCAACGCCGACCTGCGACGCCACTTCCGGTCCGCCCGGCCACGTCATCCGGCCGCACGCCGGAAGCGGGCTGCCTACGGCGGCCGGCAGGGGCCGCGGAGCGCCGCGCGAGGCCGCCCTCAGCGCTTCCTCCCGGCGGAGGGGGCGGGGCGCAGCGAGCGGCCGAGGAGCGGTGACGCGGGCGCGGCCCGGGTCTGTGACACACGGCGGCGTTAGGGGGAGCCCGGAGGGGCAGAACCGTACTTTGACCGACAGAAGTACGTTGTAATCGATGAACTCTTAGGATAGCGATCCTTCGTTTCGAATGAACGGAGAACTCGGCCGCAGAGCAGCGTGCAGATTCGCTCGCGCTTGGTCTGGTCTGCCGCGACGCCCGTACAAGCACCGCGAACTCACAGTGCCGTTCCAAAGTGCAAAAGTTACGTTCTTACACGGAGAAGGGCTGGCAGGGCAGGCCGAACTGCTCCCGTGCGACAAACAGCTCAGTTTTCCGCAGACAAAGGCAGCAGACGAAGTGCCTCCAAGTGCCTCTACTAACACGTCCAGAGAACGAACATAGGAAGCTGAGGAGCTGCCAGCATTAGGTGTTTGCTGACCAGACAATTGCTAAACTAAATGCAACCAAGTTTTAGAGGCTACTTAGTTATAATTCAAAAATGAAACCGTGCCATCTCAAGCATGGCACAGGCCAACAAATAGATGGTAAGAGATGAGCTGAACACGAGGGCTCAGTGCTGTTGCTTGCCACCCCTGCGTTGTAGGCACAGTTCCAAACCAAGAGCTCCCTGGTTGCCACTGCTCTCCATCGCTATCGTCAGAGCTTCTCCTTCTGTGGTCTTCTACATTCATGATACCATATTCCCAATCTCTTGTCTGTTACAGTAACAGCAAGTTCCTTTTAGAAAGAAATACTTGTTTTGAATGGGTTTTAACCTTTGTTTATAATTTCTTTAAAAAAGGAAAACTTGGACAACTTTGCTAGCACCATATGCATCTTCTCAGTCATTGCACCTCTGTCCAAAGCAGAGCTGAATACCTCTGGGAGACAGAGTGCCTCAGTGTCTCTGGTTTATTCAGTGCTCACGTCTCTCAGGCAGAGCCATCTGCTGCAGAGAACAGCATGAGGCACATTACAAAAAGCAAACATTCTGCCAGGCCAGCCAGCTGCCATCCAAGTTTGGGAGATAGCTCGGTGCCCCTGCCTGTGGAAGAGCCATTGACTTTTTACCAGCAATTTTATTCTCTGCTCGGTCCTTTTACATGGAAACATGCTTTCTTCTCACACTCCTCCCCAAGCATCTTTGTGCTTAATCAATGATTTGGTCATATGCAAATGCTTCTCCAATCTCTTCCAAGCTTTAATTTCAGTGTGTTTTTCAGGTGGTGGCAATACACATTGTGGCTCACCCAGCACAACTCAAGTCTACAGCTGAGGACTCCATACACTGAGCTGCAAGAAGCTTAAAGCAATTAAACCAAACCAATCTGGAACACATTTTGACCATTCAGAAGGTGCATCTCTGCTGATGTGAAAGTCTTTGTTTTTATATGATGGTCAGGTCACACTAAGATTTAAGCTGCAAAGGAAAAGCAACCACAAGACTGCTGGACCACATTCCAGCTCTTCAGCTGTGAACTGTCTTCCTGCAGGACTAGCAGTGACAATCCAGCTTCCAGCCATATAATCAGGACTGTGCAAAGGCAAATGTTCAGATACAGTTCAGATATATCTTTCTCAAAGAAAACATATTTGGCTATTACATGCAGGGAATGAGGACTTAAAAATTTGGTAGAAGAGAGAGCCCTAGACTGCTTCAGTCCAACACCTTTGAAAGGAAGTGTTCTGCACAGCACCCATAGTCTGCTCTTCCCCATTTCCCCATGTGCTACATCTCTACCTTATGTTATATACTTGGCATCCATCACATCACAGCTCCAAGCCCTGGAGCACAGCTGCAGTCACCGCTATGGAAATGGGGAACAGCTGAACAAAACCAGGGAGCTGTGTGCAAACAAAAGCACATATATCAGCAGAAAAGAATCACTTCTGAGTTTCCTTGACTTATCCCACAGTATCATTCTCTTTATTTCAGCCCCAAAACTTCCTTCCCTGCTTCCAATTTAACCAAATTAACACTATGAATTTTATTCTGTTTCAAGAAGGGCACAGGAAGGCAACTCCCACCTCACAGAGATACCCTGAACAAAAATACATAAACTCTTCACGCTTCATTTAGCAACCTGCAGTACACACTCCGCAGCCCTTTTGTAGCAAGAGTACAGGCTGTACGAACAGCACTTGGTATCAAACCCTACAGGTTTTAACATGCAGATGACATTTAGCTTATGCCTATGCCGACAAGACCCACAGAAGCTTGCAGCTCTCTGTACTACCTTCACCATGCTGCAAGAGAACAGGGTACAATCCTAACACCTGCTCTGCTATGGAGCAAGGGAAGCTTACATGCCCTGATGGTAGCTTCACATGTCCTATATCTCACTCAGGGCTGAAAGAAGGGGAACCGTTTGAAAGCCAAGCAGGCAGTACTGCTTAATGCTCTGCCCTGAATGCTATCCTGTAGAATTCCCGTCTGTGTCACTCATGGGCAACCAGAGCCCCATACTCATTGCTCCCCAAGAGCCAGGATAGGCACACAGAAGATTGCAAGGTCTGGGAAAAAAAAAGGAAAAACAACCACCACCACCACCACCAAAAAAAAAAAAACAACAAAACCAACCAAACAAAAAAAACCCCACCTTATTTTAATCATCCCAGCCCCCTGAGATGAAGAATCAAAATAAACTTCTGTTTTATGTACTTCCTACATGTGGTACACACAGCCCAACCATGAAGCTGTCCTTAAGTTTACAAGTCCTCAGGCAGAAAGAAGAACTGGACACAGCTGTTGCTGATTCACATTGCTAGAAAGCCAGAGCAGAGCAAGCACAGGCAAGCCTCAGGCAGGATGCCTGCTGCCACTGCAACAGCCAACTGTGCAGCTGGTAGCTGTGAGGTGTGTGCCTCTCAAATTGCAGAGGTGCTGTATTATTCCAGAGCATGAAGTGGAAGGTTTTCATTCTGCTACGGTGAACATGCATAGAGATAAGAACAAAGCAGTGCTACCATTTTCTTCCCCTAATTTAAGAGGTCAGCTGTGTGATTTCAAGTGACAGCTCCCACAGTGGCTTACGTACAGCTGTTTTGACACAGCAAATCCCTTGCCAGCTGCCTTGGGAGCTTTGGCAAACACAGCACACCCACATCTCATTAATGTCAATCCTCTCCAGGGAGGGAAGGGGAAAGGCATTTTCAAAATTATAAGCAAAATGCATTTGTAAAAAGTTAACTTTTCATCCTCCAGTGGTTTAATAATTACTGGAGAAAGATTCCATACTTTCTGGAATTTCAATATCTGCACAGAAAATGTTACACTGAACAGAAGAACACAGCACCTGATCCTACTGTAATGAGAATTCTTCAAACAAAGTATTTAATTTTGGGTTTTTTTTTCTAAGTAACTTTTCCAGTAAAGCCCTTGTACATTGTACTGAAAGTTTTGTTTGACAATGCTTATCAGGATTTAATTTCTAAGAGGATGTGTTCTTTCTTCATCAAAGGGAAACTCCATGTTGGTGCAGGGCTGCCAAGACATATCAGCATTCTCCTTTTCAACCATGATTTTTCCCTCGAAGTCTTAAAGCACCAGAATTCTTCCAAACAAAAAAGCTACAGCAGACCAAAAAATCTCAGTGAAAACCATAGGCAGAGCTACCAGAGCTTTAGGAAGGAAGATAGATACAAAAACATTTGGCTCCCCCTTATAAATAATTTAAGACAACCCAAAAATATCTGTACAAACACACACATACACACACATATATATATATAGAAAAATCTCATATTCCACAGATGTTGAGAGATTCAGCGACCTCTTGGGGGCACAGGTGGAGGATAAAAGCCTTCAGAGTTTACAGGCCTATTAAAAAACAGAACATAAATGCATTAAAAATAACAAAATAGGGTTTTGCAACAAATTACATGTAATAACACTGTACCTAATTACACAGTACGGGCAAGTAGTCACACAAAAGGAAAAACAGGCCTTCAGTGATCCAGCAACAGAGCTGATGCCAAGGAACTAGAGCCACATTCCTGTGTCTTTTTTTTCCTGCTGCTTCTCCAGCTGCAGTGATTCTACCATTACTGGGAGGAGATGGTGCAATACTTATTTGGAATAAAGCTGTACAGTATAGTAGCTTCTTTTCTGAAGATTAGTTGAAAAGCAATAGGAAAAGAGCAAAGGCCTCAAATTTTAATTTTTTGTTTTAAATTAATTACAAATGAATTCCAGCTGTATTTTTGCCTAAAGCAGGATGAAACACAGAACTTACTATTTTCACACATCAGTAATAATTATTTTAGCAGTTGGAGCATTTTGTTAAAATCTACTCATATAATCCTCTGGTTCCTGACTTCACAGACTTGCAGCGGTTGGATGAGAGGAGCGTCTGCAAATTACTTAAGTTTGTGGTGGTCCAGTCCAATCAATGCAGCATTCGCATCCCTTTCCCAACACCTTATCTCAAATGAGCTCAGTTCTTACTTCAAGGCAAATCATAAATGTAAACAGCATGGCCTGGAGAGATCATAGAATCCTCAGAGCTGGAAGGAAACTTTAAAAGGTCAGCTATTCCAACTCCCCTGCAATGAACAGGGACATCCATGGCTCAATCAGGTTGCTCACAGCCTGGGCATTCCAGCCTTGAAAGCCTCCAGGGATGGGGCACCCACCACATCTCTGTGTAACCTGTTCCACTGCCTTACCGCCCTCACTGTAAAAGACTTTTTCCTTACATCCAGCCTAAATCTACCCTCTTTGAACTTGAAATCGTTCCCCCTTGTTCTACCAGAACACACCCTGCTAAAGAGTCTGTTCCCCTCTTTCCTGTAGCTCCCCTTTAGATACTGAAAGGCCACTCTCAGGTCTCCCTGAAGCCCTCTCTCCTCCAGGCTGAACAGCCCCAGCTCTCTCAGCCTGTCTTTATAAGAGAGGTATTCCATCCCTTGGATCATTGTTATGGCCCTCCTTTAGACATGCTCCAAAAGGTCCACATCTCCCCTACACTGAGGACTCCACGTGTGGACACAGTACAGGACATGAGACCTCACCAGCGCAAAGCAAAGAGTCAGGATCACCTCCCTTGCCCTGCTGGCCACGCTTCTTTTGATGCAGCCCAGGATACAGCTGGCTTTCTGGGCTGCAAGGGCACACTGCTGGCTCACATCCAGCTTACTATCCACCAGCACACTCAGATCCTTTTCAGCAGGGCTGCGCTCACTCATTTCATCCCCCAGCTTGTATTGGTAGTGGAGGTTGCCATGATTCAGGTGCAAGGCCTCACGCTTGGATTTATAGAACCTCATGAGGTTCTCCTGGGCCCACTACTCTGTCTGTCCAGGTCCCTCTGGATGGCATCCCATCTGCCTGGTACGCCCACTGCACCCCATAGCTTGCTGTCATTGGGGAACTTGCTGAGGGTGCACTCGACCCCACCATCAGTGTCACTGATGAAGATATTAAAGAATATCGGTCCCAGCACTGGCCCGTGAGGGACACCACTCATCACTGATATCCATTCAGACGTGGAGCCGTTGACCTCCACTCTTTGGATTTGATCCTTCAGCCAGTTCTCACCCATTGAACCATCCACCCATCAAATCCCCATCTTCCCAATTCGTAGAGAAGGATGTTGTGGGGTACTGCATCAACAGCATTACTGAAGTCCAGATCTGAATTTATAAGGAGAAAATAACTTCAAAGAAATGCTGGAAGGGAACTCCCCCTGCTTTGCATTTAGATTGTTCTGAGAGGATCTACTCAAGAGGATCAGGTATCCCAGCTCTGCCAGGCACAGGATGCTAGTTGAGCTAGGTCTGTCTCACTGTGACAAGCTCTGCGTGCATCTGTAGCACTGTTCACCTTTGGATGTGTGAGAATTGCGGTGACATGACTGCAATAGGCAGGCTACCAACAGGAAACTCATTCCATCAAGTACTGCAGACAAGAAGGAAGAATCAATCTTACAGTTACTAAGAAGTGCTTGTTTACACAACAGTTTGGCAGACTTTGTTGAAAAGACGTTCTTCTGTACTGATTCACTTAAAGCTCGTGTTTGAGCTCCCCGTTAGCTTTAGTTACCTGCTTGCACCTCGAGGGGGCACTCTGGGAGGCCTTTCAGGCAGGGGGAGAGGCAGCCTCTCTGCTTGGCTATGGATAGGGCTGCGGCTTCTGCTTGCTTCTGAGACTTCATTGTCCTATCAAAAAGAAACCAACAACAAAATCTCAAGATGCAGGTGCTTCTGAAACAATTTGCCTCTAAAGCACACATTTTCCTCAGTGTCCAAGTTGGCACATAGCTTCAGGACTGGACCAGTTAGTGTATGCAGATACAGGATCAACACAATTGAAAACAAAGACAGATGTACTATCAGTAATGCATTTATGTACTGAATTCTGTGAAATAAGATTACAAACTAGACCCAGATACAGATTTTCAGTCACTTTTGGTAGCAGAACATCAAAATGGTTGGTACGAATGGCATGAAGTGTGGTTCAGAAGCATCTAATCAGGACAGAAGCAGCAGAGGAGGAGTTGCACAACAGGCTGCAGACCAGCAGAATTTGGTTTTTATTAGCTTCCCGAAAGAAGCAACTACATTTTGATATTTATGAAAATACACTGCTATCCCTAAAATTTTTTTTTTTCTATATAAAAACAAAGCCGTGTATTTAAAGACCAGTGAGTGCATGTAGCTGAGAGCTTACCTCACTGTCTCCTTCCATCCCACTGCTGACACTCAATATGCTCCGAGTGCTGGAGCGGTTGCTTGCACTACCTAGGGTTAGTAAGCAAGAGAAAAATGGTTTATTAGATCCTTGTGATTTTACTGCAAACCACTGACTCGCTATTCCTCATAACCTCATCTGTACCTCTTGCATATATGATTTAATACTTGCTTAGATAAAGTTGTTTCCACTGTTATTTTTCACATGTTCAAGATTGAAACAATTGCATTTCCTACAACACTGATCACTGGGCCAAACCCTTCAGATGCAACTTTGACAGATTTCTCCACTGTCAAGATCCAGGCTTCTAGTTAAATACTTGGCCATAATCTAACTAAAAGGGTCCAGTGCCAATATCAAACTGCAAGTCAGGTAAATATTTTCACAACTGTTACACACTCAACATTTATGTGTATTTGAATTATCAGTCCCCGTGTCCATAACTCAATTCAGGTACATGGCTAAGAGTATCAGCACGTTAACTTCTGGAATAACTGAATGAGCTTTCTGTGCTCAGTCTGCAGAATCTGTGAAAACGCAGGAATTTCATTTGCATGGTTAAATTTCATAAAATGCAAATATAATAAATATGTCCAGAGGGTCCAAATCACTCAGAAGCTTGGGTCCCAGATAAATCAATAAGAAATGCTGCCCTTTATCTATAACATTTGAGAAAATTACAAGTAGAGATCTGTTTCCAACCTGCAATATGACTACATCCCTCAGAACAGAACAGCACATTTCTGCTGGGAGTAACAGCAAGGGACCATAATTTTTTTTTTTCTTATGAAAGCAGCTGTCATCTACTTTTAAGAACTGATTTTGGAGACTATTCCTTTCTTCAGAAGACTCAAGGGAAACATTTTGCCCAGCTCTCATGTTTCCCTCCTGTAGATAGTCATGCACAACATGTGTACCCATATCCTTTGATGAATCTGGAGTTGCTTTTACTGCTTTGAAATCAGTTGGCATGCATACTTCAGGGTGCCAGTGTCAGCGCTAGGATTCAGCAACAGAAGTCCTGACTCATGAGCTGGCTTCCAGACTCATGCTGGAGAAATATTTTCTGCCCAGCCTTCCTGCAGTGAGGGGGTGACACTCAGGGTTTGCTTACTTGTTGTGCTGGATGTGCTTTCTGTTTTCCAGTCTCCTCGCTTTAGCTCCTTTTTTGGTGGGAATACGTTTTTCCTTGGGGTATACTCATATATGCCACATTCTGGTTTTCCCAAAGTATTATGAGAACGTCGAATGGGTACTGTAATTTCCAGATCTGGAGGGCAAAATGAGAGCAAAGAGCTCAGAATGATCTACTGGGTCTAACCTCTGAGATAGCTTCATATCCCAAAACAAAGTTAAACAGTCACATAAAGATGATTGTAATTGTACATGTATGAATCAGGATTCACTCCACAGATACGGACATCCTTTTCTTGGCCTGGGAAACCGGGGAAGTAAAGCAGCTTCGTTATTTTTTTAGCCAACAGGCACACAGATGTGAGTAACAATATATCACATAATTACAATATGGAGACATTTCTGCCTTAAGAATCTGTTAGTATTTTTAGCTGCTTCACTACCAGAGAATTTCAAAATCAGAGACTGTTACCTGCACTTTTCCCTGATTTTTGCTTCTCCATTTGCCTCCTGGTTATGCTGTCTCGTAGCCGTTTCAGATTTTCCTAAAAGATCACAAAATATTCTTCTCAGGGCTTTGGACAAAGGAGGATGAACAGTTTTCTGATGATGAAGTAACATATTTAAGCTAGCTTTACAACCAATCCATAAAAAAGCTTGCTAAACCTGGATGAAGTCCAAACTATGTCAACAAGTTTTAATCTATTCTCTTTAGAAATCCCTGTGTGCCTTTCAGAAGCCAAGTTCTTTTCTTCAGATGTTGTATACTTTCAGATCAAGTTCACAGATCAGGTAAAGTTGCAGATAAGAAGCACACTGGATTTAGAACATCCCTGTATTTTGTCTCCACTGTTACACTAGCACAGAAACAGGACACAGGTTCAAGGAACTGCACAGTCTTTTCCGTACTAACAAAAAGATAATTTTGATTGGGGGGGACAGATTTCCACACATCAGAGAATGACGGACAATTGAGAGAATTGGGATGTCCCCCAATAAAGCAAGAGGGCTTACCTGTAAATATAACTGGGAATAAAGTTTATTCACATACCACCTTATTACCTCCCCACTCCTTACTGTAAAACAGCTTTTATAGCAGAGAAATAAATACATATGTGAAAGTGAGAAAATCCCTGAACAGACAGAGAAGCAGAAGGAACACAAGGTACCACAAGGTTCCAAAAGAAGCAGGGAATGCTTTCAAAGAGGGAACTCCACACTAACAAGATAACAGAAACCTGAAAATGTGACTGCTAGTTCCACCAGTCATTGCATTGCTGCTGCCAACAGTTGAATGATTTCCTCATTCAACTCAACCACAGCACTTTCACTAGACTTTGCCCAGCAACAAAGAACAGGAAGTTCTGGATGCTGCAGGAATGAAAGCCATCAAACAAAGCTTTTCAAATAACCTGAGGAAGCATCAGTCCATTTACAGGAAAGGAGTTTAATGGCAATGCACCATGTGGGACAGAGTCTTCATTGATCTGAAATGGATACCAACTGACAACCTGAATGTTCATTCACAGAAGTCCCTGCCAGCAAGTAGGTGCTAGGTGGAAAGAAAGGTAATTTAGTCATCTGGTTTGTGCCCGATTCCTAGCATCCTCCATCTTAAAACTATTACTGCAAGACAAACAGAACTATAAAACAGCTATCTGCTTGCTGCTTCATGGAAACAGCCTCTCAAAGTCAGAAGAAAACCATGCTAGTGGGGGGGACTGTGAGGAGTCTTCCTGCTCCAACCTGGAAAGGAGTGTACCTATACAGAAATGCTTAGGATATATGCTTAGAGAAATCATTGTATTTCTTGTATTTCGTGGAATAAACCAGTACCTGCTGGAAACGGAATGATTCTGATCTCTTCTTCTGGTTCAGTTGCCACTCCTTAAAGTGAAGTACAGCTTCATCAACGTTGAGTATGCCCATTTTCACTTGTTCTTGTAATGTGATCAGCTGCCGTTGACCTGGAGTTTTCATTCCAGCAAATGGATCGTATATACTTGATTGAGACAGGTCTCTAACAGGCCTGACCATCGTTTCTGAAGAGAGAATAAAATATCACTGAGCTTGTGTTATCTGCCCTCCTTGCTGAATACAAAACAATTCAAGCAGCCTTGATGCCCTATTACAGGGCATCAAGGTATGTTTCACTAACCAGAAGAGTGTTTTGTCCTCATGCTGTCCTGACACCATTTATCAAGGCTAAATGCCTGGGAGGTAGCACTGTGCATAAATATGTCCTAGAGATAATCTCTATGCTTAAAATAAATTTAAGTGAACAGTACAAAAGCACTTAAAGCACTCTGTTTCCTCATCTCAAAAGTATCTCTCCCCCCTCAGTAACTGATAAAACAGTGTTTCACCTTTGCAATCACAAAGCTAGACTTCTTAATCTGTGCAATGTAACTCCAGCAGCTGAAAGCTCATCCTACTGATGCTGGCTATTTTTATCTCATTTACAACATTAAAAAAGGAGTACCTAACACAGGAGATAAAAGATCAAAGATGGGTCCTAGCACTTTGATCATGAACTGGATTAGAAGTTAAAGAGCAAGGTCATAATTTTCGAGCATAAAGATCAATGGGAGGCAGTGCAAATCCCAGGAAAAAACAATTAGCAGGCAGTGACTATATCCACAAGACCAGGAGTAGAGTATCAGCTCCATGAAGCAATATGGGTCAAAACAAAAAAGGACTTTGAATATCATTAAAATCCCATCTGAGGATAAACGCTGAGACAGGAGATATGTGCTGTATGAGATAAAAGAGTACTCCTCACACTCTGCAGATGTAAAAGTTTGCAGTGTAACATAAGGTCAAGTCATTAATTTAGGACTGTTACCCCCAGTCTTATGAGACAGTCTGTTCTGTCACATACACATCTCATTTGAACAACACTACCTCAGCAGATTTGCTTTTGGATTACTTGAAAGATATTCAGGATGAACTTCTGACTTACCTTTCCTCACCTTTCCTCTAGGGACATAGAGATTCTCAGGTCTTTGAGCTTTCTGTGCAAAAACTGAAAAACAAACAATCTTTAGACACTTATCACAAGTCAGGAAGTCAAGTATCAGGATGAATAGGGTAAGCATTCTCAATTCTGCATTGCATTACAACTTCTATTAAGCTCCTACTGAACCCTAATAAGACTTCTACAGAAAACAGAATAATGAGCTCTACAGTAAAACTCCCCCTCTGTCATATTCAAAGAATTTAGCCCAGTCACCTCTAAGAGAATTCTGGAAATACCTTCCTACAGTAATGTAATGGTGAGAAGGAGGAGTCACTGAAATTACTTTTCCACACTCAACTAGAGTTCTTGTTAGTGTGTTTGCAGAATATGACAATTTTCACAAAGGGCCTAGGTAATTAAGAGGAACAGTTTTCCTTAGTTTCAATTCGGAATCACCCCAGAATGAGGTACCGTCCTATGTAAATGCCATTGAACCAACAATACCATTACAGAGTAGCAAGTTCTCAATTTATTACCTTGATCATATCATCACAGTACCAAAATCTTTCATGTTTAGTTTATACTGGCTAGGATTTGTTTATACTGGCTAGGGGCAATCTGTCATCCTAATGTTTTCATTAAGAGCAATCTCAGGCCAAGATCTCAAGATACAACAACTCCACGTTTTCAGAGTAGGCAGAAAATGAAAAACAGAAACAAGATCCCAAAGGTAATCCAGTTCCTATGTTTGAGAGACAAATAAGCAAAGGGTCACAGAAACAATGAGTAGATTTTCTTGGTGCGGATTTGTTAACTGGAGTCTATGTCAACGCCATTCTAACGATGACTGGTAAAGATCCTGGTACCCAACTCACCTTTGGAGATATACAGCTCATTGTCTGACTGAGGAGAGCTGGATTCTGGTCTTGGAACAGGAACTGGAGGTCTGCTAGCCATTTCCTGGGGAAAAGTATCTTTTTCCACTGAGTAATATAGATCTTCATCATACTGCTGGGAAACTCCTTCCCCAGAATCTGGTGCATCCATGCTACCACCTACAAAATAGAAAGGCTTGTAAGAAAAATAACCTGTCCACTTCACTGAAAATTGGATCCCTCCAGATGTGGAATGTATCACATTTTTACCAACCTGGTCATTTCTCAGGCAAAAATACCCAGTTTTGCAGTGAATTACAGTGACAAAGACCTTCAAGACAGGATACCATAAAGTCATTAATACCTAGTAGTATGTAAGCATTTGCTACTAAGCTTGTACTTGTGTATTTTGGTAAAGAAACCACAGGGGAAAGTCTAAAAATTGGTCTAAGAATTAATACTAGCACTGGTAACCAGGAACATCCTAAGTTCCAGTTCATTAACAGACAGTAGTTAACAAATCAAATAGAGCACTGATTTCCAAAAGTTACTTGTGGTTGTCTACAGAACATCAGAGGGAATTTTTTTTTTTTTCCTGAAACAATCACAACCAGCTGACAGTTTATTTGACTTGAGAAAAAACAGAACTCAGAGGGAGCTGACTGCTTGCATCTGCACTTAAAAAAAAACAGCTCCTAGTACACCACCTTTGTCACCCCCATTCTGTTCTCACTAACCTCCCTGCAAAATCAAATGTCATATCTAATTTAAAAGTTAGTTTCACACATTTGTATGTGTCACGGAATTAACTAGATCAGTTAATGCCCGTGACAGGGGGCAGTAGGCCCCTGCCTTCCCCACCCCCCGCCTGGGCCCACAAAATGGGAAGGTAGGGGGAAAAGGAAAAAAACAGCGGCAACAAACTATGGAGGTAAACTTATTTTACTAACTATGATATCGGAATGCAAAATAATACAATATAATACAATCTAATTGGAATTGAGACTAATAAGTCAAACAAGATATGAGAGAGAGTTCCCGAGACCGAGTCAAACCTGAAAAAGCTTGGAACGGCTAGGAAAGCACCCTCCAGCACCCACTGCCAGGCAGTAAGAGACCGTCCCCCCGGAAGGGTCAGATCCCGTGACTTCCGTAATGTATAGGGATAGGTACGTAGAGTTAGAGCATTAACACTTTAATTCCAGTACATGATGTTTTGATGTGGAATATTGAAAATCAAATTAAAAAAAACCAAAACCATGACAGTATGTTGGGAAACAATCGGCTCAAGATCAAGACAATCAAGCGCCTTTGGACTAACTGCCTGCACTGTTACTAAGTCATAAATGAATAACCTAGTCATTGGACTTATTTACCTTCAGTGCTGCTGTACACCTAGCTAAATTAATGCAATGAAACTGCCAGAGTATCAGTACTGGCAGGGGAAATAGAACAATATGTTAAAAGACTCAGTTTTAATGTTGCTCTGAGTGCAGCTGGGTAACCCATGAAAGTGAGTCTGGATCCAATGGAACCTGGTGAGTTGGGAAAGGGCTTGGACGACCAAGTCATGCAAAGGGGATAGCCCAGAGCATGTTTGGGAACCAGAATTTCTTTTCCATTTTCCAGACTGCTATTTTCAAATAGACTGACTTGTGAATAAAGCATCCGCATTAAAATTCATCACTAGCTAATGCTGCTCCACTTCATACGCAGGCCCATGAGGTGAACCTGCACGAGCATCAAGACATCAGAGTTAATTCCCATTGCAAAGATGAGGACAAAGACTACCATTTCTGAACAGATGTCAACTGTGTGCTTGTACTCACTGATAAGCGGAGATTGGACAAGAAGTCAGTCAACTTTCACAGTAAGACACAAACCACACTAGTCAAGTCACCTCACGAGCTTCACAGGATGTTCTATTACATTTCATCTATGCCCACTAAAGCAAGGCTGTCTGTGTCAAATAGTGAGGACTAGCTCCTTTCTTAACAGATCAAGAACAAATCTCAAGTTCCATTTAATTACTCCATCTGTGCTGCTCCCCTCCTCTCCAAACAGGTCTCACCTTCTAAAAACTTGCGGAGCATCGAGTCTTTCACAGTTAGAGAGATTTCATCTCCAGAAATTGGAGTGTCTGCCTTGGACTGAAGCATTTCTACATCTGAAAAAGAAAAATCAGACCAATGAGCCTGTTGATTATGTCCTTAAGCACATTGAACAGCCCAATACAAAATGACAATTCTGATTGGATTTTCATTTTATAGTGAAGATCAAAAACTATAGCAGACAACTGACCAGACTCTTGCCTCTAAAGGGTCAATAAATTGCCTTTAATATAAATTGCAAATAATTGAAGTCTACTTCACACAAATCTTTGCCAGCAGTCTGCCATTTATACTTGAAGAAAATAGAGGTGATTAACATTGCTTGGTGAGAACTTCTGACAAGGCTCCAAGCAGACACTAAAGATTTCTTTGTGCACGTAATGTTGCTCTGAAGGGCCAGTGGAAAGAGTGAGCTAGAGGTTCTGGATGTCAGTCTTCAGAATTTAATAACTAAAATACTTTTCTTCAAAGAGACTTTTAGTTTCCCTTTGCAGGGCTTAAGATTTCAGAAGGGAGTTCAAGTAACTTGCAACTCAAGTAATAGAGAAATGTATAGAAGATGCATTATGACCTACTGACCCCTTACTAGAGCTAAAATACATAAGCATGCACAACGTGTAAACAAGAGGTTATATCCTTCTCCCTTTAAACTTTTTTAGACAATAGGAGTTAGGTATTTCTGCACATGAAGAAAGCTGCCTCTTTACACAGAGCTATCCTTTATGTAAGACAAAGGTTTCAATGTGTTGGTATAAATTACACCCCTGAACTTTACAAGTAGTTAATATTTTGCTGCACAGTTCCCTCAGTTTGCTCAAGGAAAACAATGAGGCTGCTGTTTCTGGCATTAACTGAAGAAAAAAATAAAAACCAATGAGAACCGTGTCAAAAACTCGGTCTTAAGAGAATAAAAATAGTAGGGGAGGGAGGGGATACATAGGACAGTAGAACAAGGGCATCACAACTATCTAATTTTTAGGTGTTGGAGCTCTGCAAATTACAGGACAATGTATTTTATTTGGTTGAAACTCCCAAGGATAAAGGATGAAACTCAAACTCTCTTGGGTTGAATGTCCTCAGAGTTCATAGATATGGAAAAAATGCCATGAGTCAGGACTTGTTCCCACAAGGATTTGCCACTGTCAGCAACTGGCCTCGCATAGACAAAATGCAATCTAAATGTTTCCTCAAGCAAAATGGCATAACAACAAACTGCAGCCCTACCTACTAAGCTGACTTATCAAAGGGATATGCAAGAGAGCAAAGAGAAATGCAAGAGAAGATTATAAGTGCTATCACTCTGTACTCTTTGCGGGAATCCTTTTGCTCAAGGTACTTCAGACACTGAATACACACAGAGAAACCTGGCAGTTCAATCTTCACATGAATCACCAAGGTTTTCAGCATTTTCTAGAGTCTTTGCACTTAGATCCCCCTCCCCTACGCTGAGCTCTAGACTACTCACAAATATTACTTTGTAATATTCAGGAGATGCTGGTGAGGGGGAAGCAGAAAAAAGAGTAAAAGCATTTTATCTGATGTTGTAGTTTGTACTACAAGATTGGTACGATAGAGATCACTTTCCCTTCTTGTTATTCAGCTGTTGTTTGTTACAGTCTGTGAATGACTCAGCTAAACAATATTTACCTGTGATCTGCACCAGCTTAGAGCAAATTCCAATCATATTCAAGAAAGTTGACATTGTGAGTATTTGAAAAGGGTAATAAAAGGGAAGTGCTCTTCTGAAGTAGGAATGATTACAGTTGATAAGGAATTTAATGAGGCAATTCAATCTCATTTTTTTTAAAAAACAGCAAACAAGGTAACAGCAGGAACTGCTAAGTTCCCAGGTTAGGACTACTTTCTGATTTGCACTGCTCAGGCTACTAAGACCCACACAAAGCTTAGAGAGACCACTCAACAGCAGCACACAACTCTCTGCAGCATCAGTTTAAACAAAATTGGCCCTTTTGTAGATTCTGCAGTTTCTCTGCAAATGCTTCGCCAGGACCAAGTGCAGACAGAAAACCAAAACCAAAAACACATTAAAAGAAATGAAGTGGGATGAAGAATGTAAGAACTGGCAGAACATTCTGGTATCTAAGTATTTGCTACTACTTTTCTCATTACAATGGCTCTTTCTTTCCCAATCAGCTTCTGCTAGGCAAACTGAGTGTTACCAACCTTTCTTTGATCAGTCCCCAAAAACCTCATGGAACCACATTCTAATTACAACAAATGGGCATGCTGCCACAGTATGTCTATATTTAAAACCCAAGTATTGTCCTCTGTGCCACAGCGATAAGTACTTACATAAGGGCTACTCTGACCTGCAGAAAGTACTTCAGCAGCAGATGTTTACAATTTCCTAAGGAGTTTTTCCATCCCTCCAAAATTAAGTCAGTACAAAAGCTTGAAGTTTTAATTTGTGATCCTAACTGAATGAGTCCTAAGCTAATCAGCACTCCTACCAATTTCAGTGGGCTTTTGCTTCTTTGCTGGTATTCTAAAAAATGGTGAAACTCTCCCACTTTGAGAGAACTAGTACAGGAGCACTGTGCCAATTTAAACTTACCTGTTACGATACAGGTAAAATTTTAAGCACTATTTGGATAAGTTGTAAATATTAATCAGGCAAAGATTAACAGGCTACATAAGAAATACAGATATTTTCTGTAAAATACTCCTGACTGGAAGGTGATAAAGATATGTCCACAGTAGCAATACACTGGGAGAACCCCAGAAAAAGCAGGGTACTCTTCTTTCTCTTACTGAGCCACATAGAACACTTGCTCAATATTTTGAAACAGACTCATTGAGCACTTCCCAGCACTTTCCAGCACAGAAACCATAAATACCTATTTCAGGGGCAAGGTTGGGTTTTTACCTTTCCAGTCTCACTAGTTCTGCAGAGCCTACAGCATGTGCATACACCAGAACTTTCTGTTGCTGACCCTGGAAACCTCCATCATCCTGCTGATGTGCCTGTGCTTGCAGAAGGCTCCTCAAAGAGCAGCAGTCTGCTGGACTTTCCTGCTGAGGAGACCCTGGACTTGCCTGACCGAGGCTTTGACTACACAACTTTTCCCATCCATAGGCAGCCATGTGTTAGCTCTTCATTTCCACGCCCATCAGCCAAGCATGCTGTGCATGGTGTACTCCATCCAAAATGCCAACTACATTCCTTTCTAAGATCTGTCAGAGTAAGTGAGGGCAGGAAAATCTCTACCTGAGCTGTTACACTTAGTGTAGCTTGTTTGACAGAATATCATATTGTAATTTACCAGTTTTCAACTAGGCTATCAGAAAGCGTGTGATTTGCATCCATGAAAGAAAGGAATACCCATTTCACAGTCTCTGGGATTTCTGTATGTCCCAGAAATGGAAGACAACAAGTTGGTCTTAGTGGTATTAAACATATTTTTCTCTTCTTCAGAATTAGTCTGAGAATCCCATTCGGAGATGGGGAAACAGCTCTTGATCTTGTAATTTGGCTCTGAAGCCTTTGAGCAATTTTATAAGCCAGTGTAACACGATGGAAAGTGCAGCAATAACAGCAGAGCAGCAGGATCGCAGGCTGCAGTAAGTGTGGATTTGCTCAAGTGCAGCAGCTGTGGGCACAGAAATAAAGGAAAGAAGTTGCTTACCTTCAGAAAGCTGCAGGTACGCAAGGATCTCCAAAGAGATACCCTAGGCCTCCACTGCCTACCTTTACATGAGGTCTGTAAGGGGTGGATCCTGGCTCCACCCCTTCCAGTCACTCAGGAGCATTGCATGCACCTGAGCTCCCCTGAGTTGGCCCTGCTTTCCACCAGGTGCTCAATTACTGCTACAAGCTGTGACTCAGCATTTCCGCTACAACCAGCCAACATCAAAACTGGAGTTTGATTTCCTTACAATGGAAAAACTGTAACCAGCCTTTACTCTTGAAACTCAACCAGGACCATATTAAATATGAGAGAGACAGAGCAGCTGAGGTTTTTAAGCCCAGAATATCATAGTGATTATACATACAAAGGTCTTCTGGGGCACCAGGGACAAATCCAGCCATAGATTCATAAAGCTCTTCATCAGAACCTGGGTTTAAGGAACATTTCATTAACAGGTCAGTAGAAAGATGAGCCATGGACTCATAAACAGACTCATCCTCTTCGCCTTGCATCAACTCTTCCTTAATGTGACTCTTCAGCATATCTGCAGTTTCCTGAAAAGAAAAAAGTCCAAGGAGGAAAAAAAAAAAATAAAGAATCTGGAGAATAAATACAAAGTAAAATACGTCACTCTCCCACCGCTAGTGGAAAAAGCCTTCTAAGAGCACTCCACTCCCAAAGACTAAGGCTTCTCATAGGAGCTAAATCCACACTACAGTTTTTTGGGGCCAGTCTCCATGATCTAAGCTATAATGGCAGATAATTAAGGTGAAACAAGGAGATGCTGACCCATTCTGAATAACCACTACCGCCTTTCTGCCCCTCAGTTTCATTTTCTACAAACTCCTAGAATACAAGAAAAGTTCATTCTAAAATTACAAAGGCTTATCAATGGCTATTTTGGAGTAAGCGTAGCTTAAGATAAAGGGAGTTTTGCCACATGCAGAGCACTTCCAAGAAAACAAATTTTAACTCTGTTAACTAGATTCAGTTTCAGCTTTTTGGCAATAGCAGTAGCATGTAACACCTAGTGGGAGTATACAGACCACCCTTTTCTCTGAAACTAACAGGAAACCTCATAGAAGTCAGCTGCTCAAGTAATACCAACAACTTTCGATTCACAGGACAGCAGAACTCTTTCTCATAAGTTTCTCACATGGAGGGAGAGGAAGGGGCTGCAGTTTTGCCAAGATCAGGAGGTTAGAAATGTACATCAGGAACCATGTGTCTGCAGAAACATCACTGGATGGATGAATGACAAGGAACCCCAGCATAGCAGGCTCAGATTCCATCTTTTTTTGTTCTTTCCCCTATGAATTTTCCTAGCTCCAGAGATAAAACCAACCCTCAAGCACAGAAGCTTTCATGGTGGCTGTACATCTGCCTCCTACACCCTACCACATCACCCTGCACCCTTTACTACCTCAGCATTCCTCACACACAACACTTCCAGTGCCAAACTTGATATCCACACTTGCTGTAGGACAATGTAGAAGAATGCTGCTCCTTCTTACCACGTATTCGTCAATGAATTGTCGGAGGTCCTTAAAGCCATGCTTTTCCGCTATCGTGTTTGGATAGTGACCATATTTGTTGGCTACACTGTAGGCCTGCAGTGCTCCAGGGCACGTCAGCAGCAAAGCAGTAAGGTTTTTCAGCCCATATCTTGCAGAAAAGTGAAGCAGCGTTGGCAACTCCTCATCTCTCTGATCTGTGAGAACAGAAGCCTGTTAGAATCTAAGTTTTTCTCCAGCAGCAACAAAGATGGTGAATGAGAAACAAACATCCTAGCAAACACACTGACTGAAGTAAGCCTGAAACCCTGAGGAGTACATATACTGTTTTTAAGACGGAGCTAACTTTGCACAAGTGAAGTAGCTGAGGTATCTAGCACATCTCCAGGTCTGAATCCTATGATCTTTAGCAGGGAATCTGGCACTGCATTAGTTGAATGTAGATAGGATCAGAGGTTTGGAAGGATCTCTTACATCATAATTCCACTAATTTCCAGCTGCTGTAAGGCAACCACATCATGGTAACACACTGATCCAACTGCCTACTATGCACCTTAGAACAGATTCACAAGGTTAGAAAAGGACTGGACTGGGAGAAATGCCACATGGGATCAGGAGAACAAGTGAGACATTCGGGGGAGCACTACCTTTTGACTTCAGTTGTGGCTGAAGCTGTCTACATAGCCGTATCTGTCAAACTATAAGATGCAATATGTAACGAAGAAGGGTCACACAACCATATGCAATCCTCCCTCTATAGGCATCTTAAATTTAGCTACCTGGCTAAAATTTAAGACTTTTTCAGACAGCCTATCCAGGAACCATGAGCTACAGGTTTTCCAAAGTAAAAACAGTCTATAGATATGAATTTTAAAAATAAAGCGAAAATCTTTCAACTTACTTGTTGTCATATCATCTTCTTCCAGCTGGTTGATTCCAAACAAGTGTAAGCCACTGGCAGGAATGTTCTTCTTTAGTGACTCAGTCAACAGTTTGTCCAGAGCTTCTATGCTGTATGGAACGATTTTAAAGGCCTAGAGAGAGATGGAAAGTGGTTTTGGTTGTGGAATTTTGTGGAATTATGGAGATTTATTTAAGATGAAATTTACATGGTTATGTATTAAGTTTTATTTATGTAGTACATGTAGGGAAAAAAACTAAGCATAAACACTTAAGGTGGAACTGTTCAGAATAAGCAAGAAACACATAGAATTTCTTTGTCCAGAAACAGAAGATCATTAATCTGAACAGATAAGAACTATGCACTCCACAAGAAGAGTACAAGAAAGTCATTCACACAACTGGAAGCACAGAAGACTTACTTCCTACTACCTTGATGGATATAATCTCACCATTCCAATGAAGTACTGCTACTTCTTTAAGTACAAATAAATCAGTTTTGAATTGCCCTGGTGTACATTCTGGGTTTTGACTGGTTCTTAGCCAAAGACTGTGGAGTATGCCTATTCCCCAGGTAGGAGCACAGCCCAGTAATAACTGCTTATTAAGTTGAATTTAAAAGGAAGTGAGAGACAAATTCTTTGGCACAGGTGTGCTGGTGATCAACACTATTCTATAGGCTTCTGTCACACAGCTAACAGGGACGTGCAGGCAGGGAATAAACACAAAAGACCTGGAGAACACATTTGTACAAGTTTTACTCTATAATAGGGCTCAGCTATCCTAACTGCAAAATGTCATATAAGAATTAAGGATTGGCTTTAAATAAATAAGAGCTAAGAATAAACAAATCCTTTTATTTTATCCTACTTAACTCACAAAGTTTGAATCAGTTATCATCACATCTTTTTCAAAAACCCTTTGGTTCAAATATCCAAACATCTGTAATAATTTTACTTGTATCAAGTTTGTCATTCTCATCTTCTCAAATCAAGGTCTAAATAGGGACACCAGGGCTATAAGAAAGTCCCTAAAAAACTGTGTTTCTTCATTTCAAAAGGGCTACCTTGTGGCAGGCACTTTTGCTTATATTCACATATCTACTTTCTGAGAAAAGCCATGTTCCAGCTGTTTGCTAGAGCTTTTACCTGGCACATGAATTGTACTGGGTTGGCTGCATTAGCCAACAGACTGCTGATTTCCTCCATGTCAGTATGATAGGTGACACTCGTTTCTCCCACCATCAAGTCCCCTGAATATATATGCAGAGGCACTGTCCCGGAAGTTAAATCTTTGAAAGGGAAGAGAAGAAATCATCATTAAGAACAGACAAGGGAAACACTCCACTCCAACAGCTCTTCATCCCTCCCACGCTGGAAGCCATGTAAGCTAGTTTCCAGGTGTTTAGATCCAAAGTCTTGATTTAGAACAGGTGAAGTTAAACATTTTCATGTGAGTTTGGTTATCTTCTTTAAAGCCACGCACTTGACAGTCTTTACAAGAGTCTTTGCTATAATCATTATTAGTCTCTCTATTCCTAAACATAGTATATTTGCTCTTCAACAGGACAGACCAAAGCAGATTAAATAAAATCATCCTGGGAAACTGTTATCAGTCTGTAGGGCTCAAAAACCTTGCCCTTAAAGTTTAGTGAACCTAAAGCTTAGACAACCTAAGCTTTTGTAAATATAAATATCCAGAGTGACAGAACATAACTGAATAAAAAGGCAAGTCAGGTTAAACAGTTTCAGCTCACACAGAGATCATTAAACATTAAAAAAGTACCATAAGCAATTATTTACCTGCACTTATCTTCTCTTACTGTCTGTGAACGCTAACATGATTATAACACTAACCCAGTTAAGTTCAAAGCGCTTCATGTGATGTCACCTGCCTGCAGAATTTCCACTAAGGTGTTTCCATACTGCAATCCTGACACTGCTGCTGGGAAAACAGACTTCAAGCAGCTTCTCCTCAGTTCCACACCACAAAAGTATCACAGACAAGAACACAAGTCCAAGATTTCCTGGTCCCACTGTTCCCCACATTGCAGTCTCTACCCTTACCCCTCTGACATTTTTCAGGACAGGCAGGCTGGGACAGAAGAGATGCAATGTGGGGTGGGGAAGTGAGAAACTCTCAGCCCATCTTACTTGGAGCCTCCACAGATATTGTGTATTCATTCTCCAACTCAGCCAGCACACGCACAGATGATGAGTTCTCTGGAGAGAATTCAACTTCAGTTTTCACTTTGTCATCTAGTCTACATTTCATGATAATATAAACAGTGGTCTGTACCTAAGAGAAAAGACATTAGAAAATACAGGTTTACAACATAAGAACACTTTAAAGCCCATTTTCCAGAGATTTTGTTGTTATCATGACTAACACATAAGTTAGTCTGTAATTTCCACAATCCCGAGTGGTTTTCAGTAATATCTTCCAGTTATGGAATAACTGGTCAAGTGGCTTCTGTTACATTTCACAGTAACAGAAATACAGACACTAAGCTGATAAAAACTCTGTGATGCTATTTAAAAACTGACTTAGTTTCAAGCACAGCAGCCTCATCCTTCAAGCAGCACAGCCCTGTTCTATTGAGAAACAAAGAAAGAAGCTTAAAATGAATATATTCTGGAGATTGAAGGACTTGCAGGAGCTTTATCCAATTTCTCTTATTTTTTTCTACCCTGTAGCATGTGTCTTTAGCCTGAATTTTAAAAGACTAAAATTTCAGGTTTGTAAAATTCTCACCAGCTCTGCTTTTAAGAAGTCAGTTATGACATTAAATAACTCCAATATTTTATCACATTTCAAGTCTTTAATTGTGGCCCGAAACATGTCTAATATCTACTTATGTGAATTATGAAAGTGAATTTCTGGAACAGATTCTCAGTTCTGGAAACCAGGAGATCTCCTAGGTCATGCCTTGGAGCTTTTAACGCCACCAATGTAATATTGCTCAATTCTCATTCAGGATTTTAAAGATCAAAGACCTGACTTTTAGCCATTTACATGGCTTACTACACTGGATATTATAATAGCTAATCTGAAAAAAACTGAAAAGGCTTTCTTGCCCCAGACTTATGCTAAACATAATAAACTTTGCCTCGGCCAATGCAAGCAGCCCAGCAGCAACAGACAACAAGTGATCCAGTGATCCAAGACAGAGGGGAGTCTTCTTCCACAACCGTATCTTTCAATGAGTTCTAGAGTTCATTCCTACCCACTTCTTGCCAGTTAAGGAATTTATCCTTAACTTAAAACACTGAGAAGCTGTGCTATAGGAGTTGTATCTTTCTTAATATCATTGTAAAGGGTACTTTATTAACATCACAGAATGATAGAATAGTTTGGGTTGGAAGGAACCTTAAAGACCACCCAGCTTCAACCTCCTTGCCATGGGCAGAGACAGCTCCCACTAGATTAGGTTACCAAAAGTCCCATCCAGCTTGGCCCCAAACACATCCAGGGACAGGGCATATCTCTCACCACTACTGCCACCAGCCACCTAGTGGTGGTAGGCTCAGGCACCAGCACTGGAGAAGTTCATCTAGTAAGGAAGTCAAGATACCAGGATATTCAGCCAAGCTTTGGACACATATGAAGTGAATGTGCTAACAGATGCCTATTAAATACAAAGGGAAACAGCACCATTCCCATGAACAAGCAAATAGAATTGATGCAATAAATAAGTAAATAAATAAGTCCACATAGATACAGTTTTCTCTGTTTTAATTCATCAATTCTGTAAAAGCTTAAATCAGCTTAGCAGCAGCTTAGCAGTTTGATGACTTCTCGAAAGACCCTGTGATCAAGCTGCACACACTGAAGAGGGAACAAAAAACATTTAGGCAAGGACACTTCCTAAAATGTTTGATCCTTTATGTCAGTTCTCCCTCTGTCCTGGCAGAATGCTACTTTCCCCAGGCTGAGAGTAGATTATGTCTGTAATCTAAGGTACATTCAGAAACTATCTAAATAACCCAGCACTAAACATCTGTGATTCTTGTTAGAGGCTCAGATATGCTACAAATCCAGCATGCTGCAAGGTACACACACACACTGCACAACAAATCCATTCACCTACCTATAAGACTTACAGTTTTGTTCTTATCGTGCTCAGCCCCTGCCAAGGGGAAAGGGAAGCTCTACTTGTCAACTGAAAGCTTGTTATTCCTCCTTCCCCATCATATGATGGTATACAGTTTACATCTGGTCTTATCTCAGGTCATAGCATTCAAAATTTTTTACTAAGATATGACACAGACTGTTGCCACCAAATTTGAGATTTCATTCCTGTCAGAAGTTTCCCTGTAAGCATGAAGGTCAGATTCTAAGTAAAAGCACAGGTTGCCTGAATTCATGCTTTAACTGGTGCTTTAAGAAAAAGCACTACGATCCAGATGTTTTGCCAACTCATGGGACAAGGGAAAAACATCGAGTTTTGCTTCAGTGCACTGGAGCATGAGTCTGCTCCTGGTAGGGGGACAGAGGAGGAAGTAATGTAAAGCAGCAGTAACACTGCCGTGAAGCTTTGCTAAACTGTTCACTGAAGTTTCCTCTGACAATCAGTCCCTCCTACACTCGTGCCCCACGTCACAAAGCCATGCAATGGAAGCCCAGCCACAGTGACTGAAAAGTACACTGCAGAGGAGGTAAAGCCTTTGGTGCCTTACCCCACTTTCTGGATCCATGGTATTTTTAGTGTTTTCCATCTGAAGGGATCTCAGAGTAAGAAAAGCTGTTTTTCAAATAGGAAGCTAAGCTCCAAGCTCTTTGGAGTCATTTGCAGGACAAGCACCAGAACTGCCATGCTAGATTGCATTCAGGTTCTGGAGTTAATTGCTCAGTACCTTCACCGCACTCCACTTGTCTGCATTAAATCTCACCAGAATGGAAGATGAAGAGTCAAAAGTGTGAACTTGCTTCATAAGACAGAGGACATGCAACCACATCAGTGAGACTATCCATCAGTAAGTGATACTGCACGTTACCAAGCTATTCCTGGCCTAGGAAACCAAGCTTATAAAGCAGGGACAATGAGGGAGCCTGAGAGGACACGGAACAAAAAATGAATTAGGGACTTCTTCCCAGGTGGTAAAACTCTCTACTGTGGAGAACATAACACATTGCACTAGCATACAAGAACATAGCCCAAGAAATGGCCACACAGTACCCCACAGCGTATGTGATCAGGCTGCACCACCAGATGCTCCCCAATGTTCTTGGATAATTTGTGCTCTTCATTCATGGCAAGCTGGCAGGAGTAAACTGAGTTTTTCTCGTCTTCTGTTTCTGTATCAGTTACAGAGTCGCAGCCTGAGTCTAAAATAAAGCATACAGAGTCGCATTAAATTATTTCAGTTTTCTGGAAATTCATGGATATACACACATCAGCACTGAGAAGTAGGCACAGAAGTGGGGGAGAACTTGATACGCTTTTCAAAACAAAGTTTAGAAAAGGGGATCTAGTTTAAGAAAGAGAAACTACAGTTTCCTCATTCGTTCCCCTAAGGGGACAACTGGGGAAAATTCAAAAAGACACAAAAGTGCTGGAGTAGCACAGCAAATGCTTATGAAGCAAAAAAAAAAACCCAAAGAAACCAAAAAAAACCCAAAACAAACAAACAAAAAAAACCAAAAACCCACTCCCTGATGATATAGACAGTTTCCTTCTCATGTTGGATAGGAAAATTAGTATGTCAATGTCATATAACAAAGATCAGCAAATGGACTCATCTGACTCCTGCCGCACTCTGAGTGCATTGTAGAATGGGCAACAGCCTTTGAAGTCCTACTCTCCTAAAGTTAATGAAGGAAACCTACTTTTATTTCATATCAGCAGTATCTTTAGTTATCTGGATCCTGCTTGCTCCAACTCCTGAGTACACTACTGTGTCTATAAGCAAAACGTAAGGCAGTAGTCTGAAGGGATCCTGATCCTCAAGCAAGAGAGTGAATACAAGAGTGAATCTGAAACACCAAAACATACTTTTGCATGCAAGAATCACAGTACTCTGCCCAAACTGAGCCAAGAGAAGTAAATATCTACAGTAACCCTACAATCTGCACGTACAAAACAGTGTTCTCACTCCTGCCTCCCAGAAACAGCACATATTTATATTGATGGATGAGCAAACATATTGATAACACAAGCAAAAACAAACAAACAAACAAACAAAAAAAACGGTAGCAAGAAAAGCAAGAATTAAAGTAGCTGAGAGTTCTCACACCCCTGCCAGGAAATACTTTTCCCAGCTACAGAAAGGAAATAGAAAGTCTGTGTCTACTTATTAGAAAGATTTTTAAAATCTAATCTTTAATCTCTTGATTGACACTTTTTGTAATTTCTACAATTCAGTAGGACTCTCTGAATTTATGCAGATGCAACTGTGCTTTCAGGAGACTAGTTTTAAGCCACAGAAGTGTAGCAAATTATTCAGCTGAAGGTTTTATCACAAAGAACAGCACATAACTTCATGCTTGTGAATGCTCCACATGGCAAATACTCACAAGTACAACCACACCATTGCTTTAACATTTTCTGTAGAAAGAGAAGAGCTGAAATACTATAGCTCTAAAGTTCAAGTAAAGTATCACTACGAATATCAGTATTTCTTAAACCTAGAACAGTATGTGTAGATAAGGCAGACATTTTAAAACTGCATCAAAACAGATTTTCAGATTTGACTACAAAGAAACTGCTGGGACAAGGCTATGCACTAAAGGTCTTTTGGAGTTTTCAGACTGCAGTACTAAGCATTGCAGAAAACAGACTGAGGTTATAAATTCCTTAACTCAGTATTATAATGGATACTGTCTGAAGTCATGAACCAGATCCCACTTTTGGGAATCTTTGTTCTGAGGAAAGGTGGACTGCTCCAACCTGAGAGTGCTGGGCAGCCCAGTGACACAGGAGGAAATCAAAGCACTAGTCCCACATCCTTCCTTTACATGATAGCTATCGCATCAGATGTTTGGCACATGCAGAGCAAGACAGCACGCCCTTTTGGAGGAGTAGAGGCAACTGTTACTAGAACTGAGTCTCTAATCTCTTGGTTATTTCCAGTATGACTAAATCAGAAAGACTAAGCTCATCACAAATAACAGAACCAACAATAACCAAATCATAGCATTAATATTCCTCAACCAAAAGTGCAAGCTGACACTTGCCAGGATTCTGACCCTAAGTGCATCATTCCCCACACCTTAACATGGAGCCAGTAGAGTGGTAACCTGTACCTCACTTGCCCAACATACGGTCAATTTCAGAAGAAATAAAACCTACAGCTGTGGATCTCAGATATTTCTACAGTAAGCAGGGATAAAAGAGGAGCAAGAAGAGAACAAGTCTTCAGACCTCTGCTGTAATGACATTATTTAACACTGGTAAGAAATCAGCAGATAAAGGACAACTGCAGGAGTCTGCGCTTGAGCTTTTAAGAAGTTCTGGCATTGCTGGATTTCACGTTGCACTTCTGCATTTCTGTAACAGAACTGAGTGCCTGGAGGTCATATGTAAGAACAGGGCTGTTAGGTAATATGGGAAGAAACACAGTTAATCAGTAACTGCATTAACAGCTGATGGAACAAGCACTGCAGTTTCTGGTATTAATTATTCATCTGTTTCTTCATTCAGAAAATTCTGAAATTGTGAATTATGAACTTTCCCTAAAAGTATCAGAGTGATGCTATGGTTGTCTTGCACATTGCATTTTCACAGAATTGTGAAAATGCAAGCATCAGGAAACCATCCTATTACATACAAAAGTATTCATGCTCTAAAGTGATGTGTTAATCAAACCTCCCACTTACTAGGATACTTGACTAATGATAATCAAGGTGTTGATTGAAGACCAAAATTGAGGATACTCCAATCAGCGGATTAATTTAGCAGTGATATTTTTGTCACGGTAGCAAGGCTTGACAGGCCATCACTGAGGAGATCAGAGGCATCAGAAAGTTATAAGATTACCTGAATTGAGTTCCTCCATGAACGGCTGCCATAGGTCAATAGCTCATGGTTACCGATGGTTCTGTCTTCACTGGAAGCCCTTTCTATTCCTCTTTAAATGAAAGCTACTTCAGGCCACGCCTGACAGTCTCTGAAACACTCATGAGAACAGCAGGGGAGGAGATGCGGTCCAAGAAACCCAACCACATTTCCCTTCGAACAGCGTGCCCCCCGACAGGAAGCGGCAGCACAGCACTGCAGGCCCCACACAGGCCCCTCTGTCCTGCATCGCTCTGCATGCAGATTGCTGCCCTGCTGGGCCGCCAACACTCACACCCAGGAAAACCCTGGGAAATGTGGGCATGGCCACATGCTTCATCTCAGACCATTTAGCAGCTCTTAGAGACCAACACAAAGCAGCCAGTTATTTTGATATTTTACTGTAGGCAGCACGCAGCTCGCTCTGTCATCCATTTCCTCCTGGCTAAGCTGTGAATGTCTGCATGGAGCTGACATCTGTGGTTTCTCAGAAGTCAGCCCTAACACTGCAGGACACGTGAACACTTGGCTGGAGTCAGCAATCTGCTCCCTCTGACCACTCTGTCATCCAGATACAGTGCAAACTGAGCAACAACTTGTCCCTGCAGCTTCTGTGTAAGCAGACTGCCCCTCGTCCGTATCTGCAAATACTTCCCGTGTCATCCACCCACCAGCTCACCAGCAGAGGTGAGGAGTTTTCATGAGATCTTAGGCTTTCACCTCCCAGCGCCCAGAGCAAGGCAGAAGACCTTCAGAAAGCTTCTGCTATCAGCCAAGGCTTGCAGCTGGCCAAACTCCTCTTCCAAATAAGAACGAGGACATTAGGGCTACCCAAGCAATTCCAGCAGCATTTGCAAGAAACTTGTTGCTTAAATCTACGTGTAGAGCATCTAAAGCCAGATTCTCTATTCTACAAAGAAAGCAGTCACATTTTATTTGTAATCATTGTTCCAAATCTCCATTAAGAAAACAAGCTGTGTTCTATCAAACCAAGATTTGCTTGAGCAAGTGTGTGCATATCTCTTGGGGAAGTTGATTTCTTACTAAGGACACAACATCTCAGCAGGTCAGGACTGGTGCTTCAGCAAACTGTGAGAAGCCAGAAGTTATGGCTGTGTTTACCTTTATGACTTACTAAGACAACACACATCCTCAAAAAAGACACATTACTCCATAATTTCTCTATAAAGTCCACTTCATCCTGACTTGAAGAATGAGTTTTCTTTTATATTATTATAGATCTATGAACATGAAGCTGAACAGAGAAAAATGTCCTTCTGAGTGCAAGAGGCTTTTGTGACCTTCATTAATGTTTAAACCAAGTGAATCAATCTATTCATTTTTCCTGTCTCAATATTCCTAAATGTTGCTCGCAGATTATTTTTTAATTTAATCTTTGAAATGAAAAAGTCACCAAAAGTTATTCACAATGTCAAGGACAGCTCCACATCACTCATATAAACACCAGAAAGTAAGAACAAGAAAATGGCCAGCAAATACCATACCCCATACCTGGGTTGCAGGAACAGGAAATCTGGCATGTAGACCTGGAAACAGTAAGGTTAAGAAAGTAAAGCCTCAAAAGCCAGAAAAGTGGAGAGGACACAGAAAAGGAAATAAGAAAAATGATAGTCTAGAAAAAAGTAATAAAATGAAAACCCCAAGCGGGCAGAAAATCAGTACAGAACAGAAAGATATCTTGTGGTATAAAAGGAACCTTTCTCCGGTTTAGGAAAAAATGTCAGCAGTAACTTCCAGTCAGCTGTTTGTGCTAAGTTCAGCTTTTAATTGTTCACCAGCATATAGCACTAATTAGAAAACTGTGGGTTTACATTATGGTCCCAACCTTGATCCCATTGTACTGTAGACATACAGTTGATTATTTCTCCTTCCAAGTGCTACAATCAAATCCCAAGTCCAGATGGAGAAAGTCAGTTTCCTGGCACGTAGTGATATCTCAGACAGCTGAGACTGACAAAGCACTGTCAGCAGCAAAGCAATTGCGACCAGACCGAAGCATACAACCAATCACATCTCAGATGGCATTCCTTATGTGCAAAAGCACAGCTATAAGCCCTTTATAGGAATTCTCTTCCATCAGCAAAAGATGGAATTAGGAACCGCATCAACATGCTACTGGAATTCTTCTCTTGAATCCAGTGCCTCAGAAGGAACAGCTGGGAAACTGCCTACCACACTTCACTTGCCCTAGCAATACTTCTCAGCCTTCTCTGCCTTGACTGCAGATGACTACAGTGAGTAGTTCAGGATTGGTTTGCAGCCCCCTCTTCTTCAGTTGCTCAGGAAAGTACTGATCTGTGACTGCAGGTTGTACCAAGTTGACATTCACAAAGATCGAAGCACAGGGGAGATTCACAGAAACTTAACAGTTTCCCCAGGATGACAAGATAGCACTAAGTAATCCCATCATATAATAAATAGTAGATTGCAATTCAGGACTGTGTGCAAAACACTGTGTTTTAGTTTTTCATACTTAGAGCACTGTTCATTCACTAGCAGCCTTGAGCTGAAAGTAGACCTTGAAAGTAAAGGACTGGATGGATCTGAGATCACGGTAACTCCTAGAGATGCAACGTGCAAGAGCTCAGGGAATGCATACAGCCTGAAACCAGCAAGTTTCCCAGTAACAGAAAGATACTTTCCCAGCAGAGACCTCTCAATTTTTCTTTTGTTCTTTTTTTTTTTTGAGTCAGTGTGTGAAGTTCTGCTATTAGAAATCCACAGGTGACCTTTCACAGTTGTGGAAAAGAAGTGTCATCTTCTATTGCATAATAAAGCATGAGTAAAAAACTTCCTTACAGCACTGTTATTTGTCCAGAAAACATTGCTTTGGCTCAAATTTATGTCTTGCTTCAGACAGTAATCATGGCTTAGCAGGTATGTTAAGCTGAAAAAATAACTTCTGCACTTGTCTGGAGGGCAGATGTTCACAAAAGTAAAAGCTACAGAAGTTTAAAATACAATTGCACTCATTACAGCCCTCCTCCCAACCCTTGCTTCCCTTTCTTGTCTTTATTTCCACCAGAAATTGCAGCCCTCACAACAAAGCCAGCAGAAAAGAACATGTTTGGCTGTGTCAGCAAAATGCAAGCCCAGGATCTTTGCCTGAGCATCTGAGAACTGGGAGTTCAGACTGAGCTGCCAGCCCCTGACCTTCAGGATATGGAAGAACTTCTATACATCTCACTCTTGAATACTGCAAAGACAGACAGCTCAAGGATGAAATGCTCAGTTCTTCTTACATCACATATGATACATCTGCCATGGCTTACCTTACTATGTCTAGAGCCTGACACAAATGCAAAATGTATTTATATTGTAGCAAGCATTCCATACTACCGCTTCCTCCAGCTAAAAGCACAGGTTTTTAGGAGGAGACAACACATTCTGAGGAAGTATACGTATGCATGGCTGATGAGAATGCTGAAGTCATGTTATATCAGCCGCTGACTCAATAGTGGTCTTGAGCAACACGTGAGAAACATGAAAATCCAACTTGTTAATTACCCTTGCTTGAATTTAAGCACAATGCATAGCACTCGCACAGCAGAGAACATTGTCCACATGTAAGTCCACAAAGCCGAAATTCTAAGAGAGCTGTGTAGCTGCTTTGAAAACATTTCACCCATAGAACACCACTTGACTGGACTTAGATCAGCTGAAGCATGTAGAACCACACCTTCAGGCTACTACTAAAAAAGCAGTCATGCCCTCTCTCTTCTCCATACAGCCTCCGTTGGAATACCACCATTGCAGTCCTACGCTGCACCAGGTCTCTCAATTAGTTGCCAGAACAGAGGTGGAACGTGAGGCAGACCACTTGTTTTTACAGCAATCTATGCCAAGGTCAGCCTCTGCCACCGATGGAACCTCCACCTGAGAAACTGAAGACCCACTGGTATCCTTCAGTCATTTTTTAAAAACACTTCCAAAGTTTTCTATGGTGATGATGGATCCACCAGAATCTTGCAAAATACAAACCTAGAAGCTATACAACTCTCCAAATGCACAACAGAGGTCTTTGAGACAACCTGAAGTCTGCCACACACATCTCTTCAGACCTGATCAATACCGTATCTTCTTCTGACCACAAACTTTTGAAAAGTTTTTGCAGCTGTCTCAACTTGGAAGAAACCATCAGCAATAGGGCTGGCCTCTTATTTTAAGCATGTTTTAAAGCCTTACAGTTCACATTGCGGTTATTTAAAATTAACCTAGCCATTACCATAAAGCAACCCACAGGCAGATTAAAAATACAGAGAAACATGGTTAGCATTTGCAATGTGTGCATTTGCGTGGAGTCTATTATAGCCTGATGCTTCCTAACCACACCAGTTTCTGTACTTGAAAAGTTCTGCACCATCATTTCATTGCTTCAGTCCAGAATGCTGATATACACCTAGGTAAGCCCTGTTTGAATCTCCTACCATTGTAGAAGACAAGCTGAGAAGCATTGCTGTTAATGTGTATAAGTCATGAGTTCGTATCAAGGTGCTTCATAAACACCACTCCCATCTTTTAACTGGGAGGGCTATTTCAACTACTTGGCTCTCTTTGCCACAGATGGATAAGAACATCAATGCATTTCTCTCAGCATCTCTTGGGGACTTATTTAAAATTTCTAGTTGCTTTAAACCACTCTCTGAAATGCATGTTTCCAACATCAGTCATTTATAGCTACACCAACAGCTGCAAGGAAGGGCATGTGAACTTACGTTCTCTCAACCTTAACTCCTCTACAACAATATCACAGTTTCCTCTCCTTGGCAGGCTGAGAACCAGCTGGGCAGCCCAGCTCCCATAAGAATGAAGCAGATCTTCACAGCACTCAAAGGGCTGACTAATGCAGCACCTGTTCCTCTTCAAAGAGCAGGGTCAAGGAAGCATATCCTCTATTTCAAAACAATTCAGCAGAGAAAAACACAGCTTTAAAAATTCACTTAATATTTCCCCTTCAAAGAGGGGAAAAAAAAAAAAGGATCAAGGAATGGAGGAAAGACTGCAATAAAACAGGTAATATTGTTACCTTTGGTATGCAAGGCCACTCCAGTAGGCCAGCAGAAATAAATGTTAAATGTAATCCCCTGTAAGAAAACTGCTCAGAATATGCTCCTTCACAGACAATTTACAGAAGTGAATAGCAAGTAGTGCCCCACTTCTTGTCTCTCTGTCCCTCAGGTATGTACATTGATCAACTCCTTTCCCTTCCTATCTCCAGTTTGCTTCTTTTAGCATCCCTGGGATATCCAAACAGCCTCTGAAGATGCAGGCAGAAATCACAAACATGGCACAGACATCTCCCATCCAATCTGCAGCTTCTGAAACATCCCAAGTGCCAAAACAAGACCAGAGGACCACAGTAAGAGATATGCTGGTGAGGAAAATTCAATAGCAGACAAAGAAAATACAAAAAGGCAAAGAGACAGCAGCAACATTTTAAAGGATCACTGCAGTTAGAGCTGCAGGAAGTAGGGTCTGCTCACACTTTGGAGCCTCAGAGGTACAGCATTAGCTCTCTAGCAATATAACTTAGAAATTGGGTCCCAAGGCACCTAATTCTGTAAGGTGAAAGATCAAGGAGGCAGTTTCACAGAGACATTCAGTGCAGTAGATGGCTTCAAGATCCTTCCCTAAAATAACAAGCAAGGATGTCAGATTAACTCACAGCTCTTTCTGGCAGCTTTGTATCTAGGATTAGTCCTTTAAGAGGGTGGCAAAACTTCCCCATGAACTATTTGGTGATATCAAGCCTCTTCCTGCCAGAATACTCTTCCACATCCACCTTTCCTACAAACAAGGCTCAACAGCCAAGCATTATGAAATAAGT